TGTTTATCAACCCTGACCATCCTCTGTGGTCAGGTGAGACGGCACATGTGCTTTCAGCACACCTGAGAGATCGCTTGGATTAATGTATTTGGTGCTGAAGTGTTTCCACTTACTTTTGTAAGCCAGTGCCTTAAAATGTAACTTTAGAACTGTGAAAAGGCCACTAAGATCGTCTTGTTTACAACAGGAAAAGAGAAGAAAAGTTGGAGTGGATGTACCAGGGTCCTGGAGGCATGGTGAACAGAGAGGAGTATCTTATGGGTCGCCCTGTGGACAAATACATCTTTGAGAAGACTGAAGACAAGGATGCTGGCTGCTCCAATGAGACAGGACTTCTTCCAGGTTCCATTTTTGCCAAGTCAGGGGCTAATTCTGTCCTAGATATGGCAAACAAAATCCGTGAGGATCCACTCTTCATGATAAGGTACTAAAAGTGGAACTGAAAGCAGTAGTAGATCGGGCAAAGCATCAGTAGCAGCAGCTTAAGAGCGGTCTTATCTATCTTTGTAAAGACTGTTGTTAGCCTGTGCCTTAAAGCTGCATCTGTCTGCTTGTGAGCTCTAGTCTGTACGTCACGTGCATGCACGTATTGTTATTCCACGTTGATTCCTGTCTGTCAGCTTAGCTCACCCTTTTATGTGGATGTGAATGTATCTGGTCTGCCCTGAGAGTTCAGGCATTTATTAGCATCGTGGGCATATTGATGGTAACAACAAGTAGTTGTTTACCCTGCTAGTTGCCCTCGTAAGTGGAGAAGGGAAGGACAGACTCCTTAATTGCATCTGTTTTGCTGAATGTACAAAATTTGCCTGTTTTCCTGCTTTATATGTTTTTAGAGCTTGCTTAAAAGATTGGTATCTTTCATGAAAATATATTTTTTTCAGCTGTTTGAAAATACTGATTTGTTTTGTGGGGTTTTTTTGCCTGCTCTAGAAAGAGGGAGGAGGAAAAGAAGAGAGAAGTTCTGAATAATCCTGTTAAAATGAAGAAAATCAAAGAATTGGTAGGTGTATCTCAGTTCTCCTTTACACATCCAAAGCACAGAATACACTGAACCATGGAGAGGATCGTAGGTCAAAATTAGTATTGTTTAGGCTAAGGAGCTGAATTCCGTTTCCTGACTCTTTCACAGAAAACCAGAATAAATTCTGCTTTCCATAATCCTGATATCCTAGAACAAGGTTCTGCATCAGTCTCTCTGCAGGAAGTAATTTGTCTTCCTTTCACTTTCAGTGTCATTTTACTCTTGTTCTTCTGAGGTGCTTTTTTTATCTAGTGATTAGTTGTTGTTGTTGTAGTACCACAGGGATTGCAGACAGAGGATTTGACGTGCACTGATACCAAACTGCCATTAGCAAAGGCTCCATTTAGCTCTTCAGTTTGGAGAGAGGAGCTTGTTAAACGGTTTAGATTTCAGGAACCTTTCCACAGAGAGCTGTTACTTTGACCCGTGCCTTCTGATACTGACTGTCCAAGTGTGGGGACAGTAATTATTACTAATGGAATGATGTCTTGCTTTATAGCTGCAAAACAGTTTAGAGAAGAAAGAGAAGAAGAAGAAGAAAGAGAAGAAGAAGAAGCACAAGAAACACCGCCGTCGCAGTTCCAGCAGTGAAAGTGACAGTAGTGACGAGGAGCGAAGCAAAAATAAGTATGTTTTGAGGTTTTGTAGTAAAAATACCTTATCTTCTCGTGGAGTTATCTGATTTTCATCTCTTTCAACTCCTCCCTTTGAGTATTACCTTTCTAATTAATGGTCTTAATTGGTCTAAATGTTTTTGTATTGTTACTTTATTGGTTTTGCATCACTGAATTGTTTTTATGACATTTTAATGTTTAAAAATATGCTTGAACTTCATCTGCTTCAGAAGCACTATTATGTTTTCTCTGTAGGTCTCTGAAGAGGATGAACATTTCCTCCTGGAAACCTGCTCTTTCCAAAGACCCCGGATATGGCCTGCAGGTCAGTACCTGTGTTTCACACAGCCCTTTCAGTAGCTAATGCCTTGAATTAAGGAAGAAGAAGAGTTTTGGTAGCTTGCTTCAAAACTGCTTCACCAGATAGAAGAGGGTTATGGCGGGGACATGATATAATAAATTTGAGATTCAATTTGGAGCTATCTAAGCTTCGAAACTGAAGTTTTTCAGATGCTGGTAGGACTTCTCTAGGCTCTGAATTCCAGTTAAGTTTTAGGTAGTTCCTCTTCACAGAATCACGTGTTTAATTACTCTGCTTGGCCATCTTGGCACTTTAGTTTACTGAACAACGTACAGAAATTATCTTTTTGGACACAGGGAGTAAGAAGGTAGGAAGTGGGATAAGTAAACGCAAACCTTCCTGCACTTAGCCTGGCCTGAGGGCTCCTCTGTGGCCTTACAGTGGTGTTGTGCTCTGACATCTCTCCTGAAAGACGCTTTTAAATTCCAGGTTAGAGACTCCGACCAGAGCCACAAGTCTAGGAGCTCTCCAGCTGCCGGCCAGGAGAGGGCCCCTCACAAGCACCGGGATCGCTCCAGGTCCAGGAGCCAGTCCCGCTCCCCTCAGAGACGCTCCAGCAAGAAGAATTCGGAACAGTCTGGATGCAGGGGGTCAAGATCTCCTCCTAGACATAGCAAACAGTGAGTGTGGCTACCCTGGCTAATGGAAACCTAGGGCTGCGGAGGGGGGAGTTCTCTAGAATCAAAATCCATCTTCTCAGGCCTCCTACCACTTCATTCTGACCACGTTACTGCTCAGTCCTGGGTGTAAAGGCCGCACAGGAGAGCGGAAGCACACAGGTCAGCTCCTGGGAGGGACCAGCAGCAAGTGCTGTCCGCAGTTGCACTCTGGGTGGGACACCCTCCTCCTTGGTACAGCCTCTGGATCTTGCTTGTGACTGGGCTTTGTTTGGGCTAACGCTTCTCTTTAAAAGGTATAATTGTTGAATTATCTTCACTAAATGCAGATAAAATCGGGTAGCAGGTATTTACTGTTTGCTGATGAAATAAAGCGGAGTAAAAATAGATGGAAATTTACAGTATATTAAGTCAGTTGAATTTGTTTTCAGAGTGGACAAGTAAGAGTCTTGCAGTTATGGGAGATGTCTTGGTTTCAGAAGGGGTACAAAGACTCCAGGGAAAGTTTAAGGGGGTGATAGTGTACGTTAATCTGTATTAAAGGTGGTTATTTCTGGGTTACAGACATGGCAGTCGAGAGGAGAAAGGAAGAGCTAGAAGCCCTTCCCCTAAAAAGAGCTATCGACGACAGCATACTCCGGGTTACACAAGGTGAGCGAGATCTTGTTCCTGTGGTTTTAGGTCGAAGCTGTCCTGGTGGTTGTGAAACAGCTAGCTGTAATCAGTGAACCAAATTTTATCCCGTTAACTGAAATAGATTGGCTCAGACGCCCAGGAAGTTGTGCAGACAGAGTCCCAAAGTGCTCGGTTTGGTGCTCTTGGCCTTGTTAACACCTTGGAGAGCTTCCCAAACCAACCCGTGTGGTTTGCTGGTTCTCCGTGTGTCTCCCATCACTGCGCAAGGCAGCGATGTGAAGTCGGTCTTTGTCCCTCAGACTGTTAACGAGAAGCATTCTGTTTCACTGTCATCGGGGAAAATAGGACCTCGATGGCATCATCTTACCAGTCAATTAAAAACAAGAAAGCTGAAAAGAGGAGGAAAACAGCCTCTTGTTAGGGGTGTGGTAACATGTAGACATGTACTTAGGAGCTTTGCTGATTGGCTACCAAAGAAAAAAACATGTTGAACACCCCTAATTTAGGGAATTGTAAATCACCTTAAAAAATGGCAAGCGGTGGGGGGCGGGTGTCAGCGTGCTGTTGGTTCACAACACGGTGCGTCCTGCGCAAATAGGAAGATCTCCCCGGAGGAGCTAGAGCGTAAGCGCCAGGAAATGATGGAAAACGCCAAGTGGCGGGAAGAGGAGCGAGCAAACAACCTCAGGAAACACCGAAAGGAGGAGGAGCTGGAGCGAGAACGGGAGAAACTCGACTCCCGGGACGGGAAGTTCTTCAAGTGAGTGTCTCGTTCTATCTGCTTTTTCAGTCAAGGGAAACACAGGCTGCATCCTCTGAGGAGGGAGTGTTGACCTCAGCGTTTGAGGTGCTTCAGATTGTGGTGTAAGATCCACCTCTGCTGCTTTGTGCAGTAGAACTGGTGTGTCTGTCGTACCCAGATTCCCTTTTTAACCCAAAAGGTAGCTATTTCCGTCATGGCCTTGGTAGTCGGACTCTCAAACTGGTGAGCAGTTTCTTTTTGCCATCTGTAGGAATGCCTAGTGGTGTTTAACATGCAGATATTAAAAAGCTCCCTGGTTTTAGGAGTTTGCAACAGTTTTAGTCCTCCAAGTCCACTGGGAGTCTGCGTGCCAAGAGCTTGTGGGACTGAAACCTGTGCTCAACCGGAAATAAGTGTTGAAACGCGTGTGTTAACATACAGCCCCTTGTGCACATGGCAGGCACAGATCCTTCCAGAGGGTGCTGTGGTGTGCAAGAACGATCCCATGGCCACTATGGTTGTTTTGGAGTTGCTGCAGCCTGTGATTCTCCGGGCTCTATAAATCAGTGGGGGATGTACACTGATTCCTGAGGCTGCCCAGAGCTGGGATCATTCAAAAGGGGCTTAAAATGAGAGTAAGTTTTCTCCACGAGCAAAATCCCATGCAGAGGAGGGTTTGTGTGTGTCTCCCTGCTCAAAATAAGCTGGTTGAGCTTACAAACGGTGTTTCTTGGCATGTTTGGAGGTGGGCACGGGGACATCACTCGGGCAGGCACAGCGGTGAGCTCGGAAGCGTTAGGGAAAACGAGCAGTCACAAGGGTCCCTTCTCCCTCCTGTAGTCATTTACAGCCCGAGCTCTGGCATTCCGACTCCCGGAGGGCTGCTGCCCTCAGTTCGGGAACGCATTGCTTTTCCCTCGTTCTCTTCACAGAAAGCAACCACGTCCCCTGCGACGGGTGCGTTTGTAATTAACGGTTGGTTATATTTGGAAGATGGAGGAGACGAGTGCTGCTGAAAATCCCTTTCTGAGCACTGACTTTGCGGGAAGCATTGAGTGTTACAGAGCAGACAAAAAGCCATTCAGTTCTTTCTCAGCAGGTTTTAATATGAAATCGTTTGCTGTTTGTTAAATTAATTCGGTTGACGACTGGGAGAGGATGAATCCCACTAGAATCACAGAATGGTTTGGGTTGGAAGGGACCTTAAAGACCATCTAGTTCCAACCCCCCTGCCATGGGCAGGGACACCTTCCACTAGACCAGGTTGCTCCAAGCCTCATCCAGCCTGGCCGTGCACACTTCCAGGGATGGGGCATCCACAGCTTCTCTGGGCAACCTGTCCCAGGGCCTCCCCACCCTCTGCAGGAAGAATTCCTTCCTGATGTCCCATCTCCATCTCTCTCTTCCCGTTTAAACCCATTACCCCTTGTCCTGTCACTCCCTGCCCTTGGGAAAAGTCTCCCCCAGGTTCCTTGTAGCCCCCCAGTCACTGGAAGGTGCTCTAAGGTCTCCCCGGAGCTTCCCTTCTCCAGGCTGAACCCCCCAACTCTCCCAGCCTGTCCCCAGGGCAGAGGGGCTCCAGCCCTCGGAGCATCTCCGGGGCCTCCTCTGGACTCGCTCCAACTGTTCTATATCCTGATGTTGGGGGCTCCACAGCTGGATGCTAGAAATGGTGTAATGTTGGGAGGGAGATTTTTAATGTCTGTCTTTTTGGTTCAATTTTCTGCAGTCGCTTAAAACTGGAGAGTGCGTCGACTTCCACTCTGGAGGATCGGGTGAAACGCAATATCCACTCCCTGCAGAGAACTCCCGCTGCCTTGGAAAAGAACTTTATGCAGAGATGAAACTTGCTCTTCCTCTGCTCCTGGTGCAGAAATTAAACGGACACTTATTCCCAAAGGTGAGAGACCTCCAGCACAGACCATCTCCCGGAGAGCTGCTGGCTTTCCGTGCCGTGGCCTGTGGACTCGTGCCGCTGGGAGTAGCTTTGTCACGAGTGTCCCCCTGCAAGCGAACCTCTGCTGTGGAACCTGGGAGCCTTCGTACTCCGTTTTTCACCTGTTCCCACATCTTTTCCTTCTCTCCCCACCTTTGGCCGGTCGCAGTTTTGTGGATCGTTATCACCAGCTCGTGCTGAGCGATACACGGGGGACGGATGGAATCCTCCTCGGTGCTGTCGCCTTTCAGGCCCGGGGTGGGGGGCTGGGTGGGGGGTGTTAGACCAGTCTGCAGAATATCTGTCGCCGTTGGTTGCTCACGGGTTTGAATGGTGTTTGACCCCAAGGAAGCCCCTTCAAAGGGGCTGATGCAGCAGGCATTTCTCTGGGATTTTGTAATGTAAGTAATGTGTATATGTACAGAAGTGTAGCTTTTCCCTTTTTTAAAATGAAGAGTCTTTACTGTCATTTTCATGTTCTTTGTGGCTTCTGGGGTGGGAGGGGCAGGGGTAAAGTCGCTGTCAAAGGAAAGATTTGGTGAGGACC